GTTCCCGTCCCACAGAGCTCCCATTCTGCCCCATAGCACCCCACTGCTGCCCCACAGCGCTCCCATTGCTCCCATTCTGCCCCCTATCGCCGCAGTGCTGCCCCATTGCGTCCCAGTTCTGCCCCACCGCTCCCAGCGCTCCCAGTTCCCCCAGTTCCTGCTCCCACTTCCCGCCCCATGGCTCCCGCTGCTCCCAGTTCCCCGTCCCAGTGCCCCATTTCCCCCCCCCCACCGCCCCCCACTCAGACCGGACGGAGCGGAGCGGCTGCGGGCAAAACCCGGGGCGGAGAGGAGCGGAACCGCCGGAACGGAGCGGGGCGGCAACCGCCAAAACGCGGAACGGAGCCGAGCGGAGTGGGGAGAAAATGTCCGCAAATGGGACGGAAGGGGCCGCGTGTGGGGCGGAACGGCCGCGTGTGGGGCAGGAATGTCACATGTGGGGCAGGAAGGTCACATGTGGGGCAGGAAGGTCACATGTGGGGCAGGAAGGTCACATGTGGGGCAGGAATGTCACATGTGGGGCAGAAAGGTCACATGTGGGGCAGGATTGTCCCAGTGTGGGGCGAGGAGGGCAGAGGGGACACGAGGGCACCGTGGGCGCTGGGGACATTTGGGGACATCGGGGCGTCCCACCCGCGGCCGTTCCCACCCCATAACCACGCCCACCGCGTGGCTACGCCCACATCGCAGCAGCGCGCTTTGTGGCCACGCCCACTCGGCGAAACCACGCCCCTTGCACGCGCCTACATCCATAACCAAACCCACTTCCGTAGCCACGCCCACCTCTTAGCCACGCCTCCACATTTGCATCAGCCCCGGAGCCAAGCCACGCCCCTCCGTTAGCCACGCCCCCACGCCGTGCCTCCATTCAACATTTATCGACCATTAAAAAAAACAACCGAAAAAACCAAAAACCACAAAGAGACCAAAAATCACAACGGGAATCACGGGGGGGGGGGGGGGGGGGGGGCAGTCCGATCCGGCGGGGACACAAAAAGGGGGGGCAATGGGGGGGACCCCGACGTCACCAGGCGTCAGATGGGGTCTGAGCCACACGTCCCCAGTGCCACCCGGGGGCCTGCAGTGGGACCCCGATGTCCCCAGGGCCACCAGGTGTCCCCACAGGGTGGAGCCCAGGCGTCCCCATGGATGCCACCAAGGGGTCCCCAGCGTCACCCAGAGGCCCACAGGGCAAGGATCGAGGTGGCACCCTGATGTCTGCAATGGCACCCAGGTGTCCCCAATGTCACCCACATGTCCCCAGTGCCATCTGGATGTCCTAAATGGGATCCTTGTGACCCCAAAGTCACCCAGACGTGCCATGGGGTGGGACCCAGGTGTCCCCAGTGTCACCCAGAGGCCCATATGGGATGGGATCAAGGTGTCACCCTGATGTCCCCCATGTCACCCGCACGTCCATATGAGAAGGGATCAAGGTGTCACCCAGAGGTCCATGTAGGATGGGATCGAGGTGTCACCCCGATGTCCCCAGTGTCACCCAGATGCCCACATGGGATGGGACCCAGACGTCCCCCACGTCACCCAGAGGCGCCACACAGGACGGCACCGAGGCGCCACCCAACGCCCCCGGCGCCACCCAGCCCCCTGCAGGCCGGCTCCCAAAGGCCCCCCCCCGGGCCCCCCGCCCCCCCCCCGCCGCCCCCCTCTGCCCCTCGGCCCCCCAGTCCCCCCCCAGCGCCCTCCTGCCGGCCGCCTGCAGGCCGTGGATGGCGGCGGCGCGGTGCCTGCGCTCGCAGTGCGCCTTGTGCCGCACGAAGCTGTCCCTCCACATGAACTTCTTGGCGCAGACGTCGCACTGGTAGGGCTTGAGGCCGGTGTGGGTCTTCATGTGCTCCGTCAGGTGGTGCTTCATCTTGAACTTCTTGCTGCACACGGGGCAGGCGAAGGGCCGCAGGTTGAGGTGCATGTTGACGTGGCGGTCGCGCATGCTCTTGTGGGAGAAGGCCTTGCCGCAGTGGCACATGAAGATTTTGTTGCCGTCCGGAGCCGCCGTCAGCCGCACGGCGCCGTGCTCTGCGCCGGGCTGAGGGGGGAACACCAGGATGGGGCCGCCCTGCGCGTCCGCGGCGAGCGGAGGACGGGGCGCCGGGCCGGGGGGCTCGGGGGGCTCCTCCAGGCCGCCGTAGGGAGACGGGAAATCCTCGGAGGACTCGCAGAAGTCGACCTGCTCGTCTTCGTCCTCCTCCGTCTTGGGGGGCCGGGGGGGCAGGGGGTCTTCGTCCTCCTCGCAGGTGAGCACCAGGTCCTCCTGCAGCCACTCGCGCTTGACGTAGACCCACTGCTTGTGGGGCACGATGCTGGGCCGCACGTAGAGCGGCCGGCGGCTCGCCTCCTCTTCGTCGTCGTCCTCCTCCTCCTCCGCGTCCAGGCCGTCGGCGGAGCCCTTGGAGGCCGCGCCGTCGCGGGGCCGGGGGGGGAGGGCGGCCCTGGGGGGCTCCTCGGGGGTCTGGCGGGGGCTGAAGTAATTGGAGCTGCTGGGGGACTGGTCGTCGCTGGTGCGGCTGGAGTGGGAGCGCAGCGACGACGACGCCGGGCCCACGGAGGACGACGCCGGCCCCATTCCCAGCGCCGCCGGCCCCACGGATGGCAGCGGCCCCGTTCCCAGCGCCGCCAGCCCCACGGACGACGACGCCGGCGCCATCCCCAAGGACGCCGGCCCCACGGACGCCAGCGATCCGCCCCCCCCCTGCTGCCGCCCCCAACCCCAACGCCGGCGGCCCCACGGCGGCGCGGCCCTCCTTGAGCAGCTCGGTGCACTTGTCCACGATGTGCCACATCTGCAGGACGCTGCCCACCGTCAGGAAGTTGACGATCTCCTCCGGCGCCATGGACAGGCGGCCCGTGTAGGCCGAGCCCAGCACCGTCTCGAAGGCGGAGGGGTCCATGACGTTGGGGAGGACGATGGAGGTCATGTTCTTCAGCAGCACCTGGTCGTGGAAGTAGGGCGAGGAGGCGGCCAGCACGGCGCGGTGGGCGCGGAAGACGCGGCCCTGCACGTGGATGGAGATGTCGCACAGCTTCCCTTCCACGCGCTGCTGGTTCAGGTTGGCCAGGAGAGCGCTGGTGATTTCGGGGAAATCCACGTGGAGGAGCCCCGAGTCGCCGCCGCCGTGGGGCTGCTGGTGGTGGAGGTGCTGGTGGTGCAGCTGGGGACCGTCGTGGTCGCCGCCGTCGTGGCTGCTGTCGCCGCACACCGCCTCCATGGCGCTGCCCTCCCTCCCCCGGCAGCGCTGCTGCTGAGGGCTGGGTGTCAGCGGGCCCTATAGGCCTGCCCCATAGCGCTGCCCCATAGTGCTGCCCCACAGCCCTGCCCCATAGCCCTGTCCCATAGGCCTTCCCCATAGTGCTGCCCCATAGCACTGCTTCATAGTGTTGCCCATAGCCCTGCTCTGTAGCCCCAGCCCCACAGTGCTGCCCTATAGTGGCACCGCCCTGCAGCCCTGCCCCATAGCACTGTCCCCATACATCCTCACAGCCCCCATAGACCCCACTACCCCCTCATACAGCCCCATACATTGCCTACAGACCCCCAGACACCCCCCATAGACCCCAATGCCCCCTAACACAGCCCCACACCCCCTCCAGACCCCAACGCCCC